TAAAACTGCTCAACAGCTTCAAGGAAAGCTTCCTCTACCAGCATTGCAAATGCTCACAATTTTTACAGTTTCAGTCTGTGCCTTTGCCAAATGCAATTTATCATCTACTTTCTTTGAATGAACTTCATTCTATGAAAGTGTGCTCATTAGTTCAACCTTTTTTCAATTTACAAGCAGTTCATAGTCTGCTGTTCAAAACTTGGTAGAGCTGCTACTGAAATACTGGAAAATATCAAGGCAATATGGAAAACATCCCACCATAAAGACTACCCTAGTGCTCTGAGTACTTTTGGAAAAGAGTTGTAATAAAAAAATATTATCAGTTTATCATAATGTAATTTTACCTATGATAGGAGTTATGATTCATAGACACCACTAGAGATCAGTTAAGATTCCAGCCATGTGCCTAGATTTTTTAAATTTTGTAGCTTAAAGTTAAGTTTATGTTGGTATTAACAGCTGAGCAGAGATTCAACTTAGCAATGAATTGAATTTTACATTGTGCATATTCTTTGTGGGCTGTTTTATTAATTAAAATTAAAAATGCACATTACCTTTTTTTAAATCCGTAACTGTTTAATAGCTTGGGGTTTATTTCTTTTAGGTAGCAGCGTCACCAACACTGTTACAGTATTTTTAATAGGTTTCCAAGTAAACCAAAATGGGATTTGTATCTGCAGTTAATATTGAGATTGTTCTGTTTCCCTTTCCTTAGTGAGTTAGCTGTGTCTTAAATGTTGAGAAATCAGTGCAAAAATGCCTTTTATAAAATATTTAGCAATACTTTTCATGCCCACTAAAACATGGGAAGCCCTTGAGGTTCCAGCTTGCAAGAATTTTCATGCACACATATTTTTTGTAGACCCTCTATGATCATATAGGTGTGTGACTGACAAATCAAAATGAAATTATTAATATGGATCATTTCATGTAAATAGGAAATGCCAATGGCACAATGTTAAACATCACAACAAAAGAATTAAGGGCAGGAAGCTGATTGCCTCTGCAATTAAAAGTTTAGGAGACAAACTATCTGATCTGGAATTTGGCCAAGGCATCTTGACTAACAAGCCCGCTCCTGCAAAAAAGTGCCAGAGGAATTCTGATACCCCTGTGTGGTCAAGATTGCTGCTTTGTCTAAATTAAGCCATCTCAAAACATAACACTGCCATATATATAATCCCATGCCAACATTTGGCAAAGCACTTCTTCTGTTCAAGCATTTGTGCTGGGGAAGGCTGACTAAATACAGCATCAGGGCAAACAGTTTTGAAAGCATTTATTTTGAATTTCATAGGAAGCCAAATGCTGTGCAAATCCTGTTCTGTGACTGAAATTTGCCCCTGTTAATTTATAGTACTTTCATAGAAGTCAACAGGAGGACTGGTACCAGATCTATAATACACTGTAAAAACTTTAAAACATCTTATAGTTGGTTGTTAAAATGACAGCAATTTGAGAGCAGTGATTGGGGGTTGAACTCAGCTTATGTTCTGCTTCCATCTGGTCTGCTACTGTTCTGTTGAAGATGGAAAGCCACACACGCAGGATTGCACGCATTATCCTAAGAGACAAATACTCTCTTTCACCTGTACAGTTTAGCATTTAGACTTGGCTCTTCTGCCTTATCTGTGAATCCCAGGGTGTGCTCCTGTATCCATCAGGTTCCATCCTGTCAGAGCCTACATCTACTGAATTAAACAGGACTCCTTACATAACTGAGGTTGTACGTTTGTGGACAAACAACCCGTGCATCTCATCTCAAGTCCTCTCTCTCATGCAGAAGCCTCAGCCCCGGGGCTCAGGAGGGGCAGCTGCTGCCTCAGGACCCTTGGCAGCCCCTGAGGTCACCGTGCAAACCCAACCAGCAAACACTGAGAAATCAAAGGCTTAATCTCATGGGGATGCTGAGGCAGCTTTGAAAGAGCTCCTGTGGCACTGTACTCCTCTGCATCCTTGTGCTGCTCGTGGTGCTGGCTCTGTGGAAGGCCACTTCACCTCTCTCCTGGTGTTTTACCTGAAAGCGTGTGGAGCACAAGCGATGGCAAAAGCAAATCCTACAGAAAGGCACCTGGAAATGCGAAGGCAGGACGTACTTTCCTGTTAGATGTTTTAAACTGCCTTTGGAATTTTAGCTTAGGATCTCTCTAGTATTTCTATGTTGTGAGGCTTCACTTTGAAACCATTAAGGAGAAAATCTAAACCTAGGTCTTTGGAATAAACAAAGTGGTTTTCTGGCTTTTGGGAAAAAAAAAACAAAAACAAAAAAACCCAAAAAAACAACAACAAACCAACAAACTTAATCTGTACTATAAACAAAAAATTAAGAAGAGATACACACATTATGGCCTGATGTGGTAAATACTTTCAGTGGTGGACTTCAGCAGAGCTTAAATGCAAAGTATATGTCATCTACACTTGCACAGTTTACTGAGCTTAGTCAAGAATTTCGCCACTGAAGCTGACAATGGTTGATGCCTCTCCAAGATAGGTAAAATCCCAATCTCTGTAATTATGCTCATTACCCTGTTACGGTTGTTAAGGTTCTCCCCTTTTAGAAGTATTCCAAGAATTAGCTGAGTTACAGCAGGTTATTAGTGCAACATGGGCTCTACAGGCATCTTTTAAAGTAAGGAGACTACGGAATTAATTCTGCAGATTTTACTTTTATATCTGAGAACAGAACAGTAGGAAAAAAGGAAATGATTACTGGAATTCTAAATCAGATCCTACATTTGACCCTGATAACTTCAGAAGAGCTATTGCTCTAAGGCATGTAGGATCAGGTGTTATATACTGACCCATCGTTTTGCATTTGGATGTACCCAGTGTAGTTTACCCAGGTAAAGACCACCTTCTCTTCAAGAAATGGAAGTTTTATTAAGGGCTCAGTGCTTTAAAAATCAGATCATTTTTGCTTAGGAGTCCAGGGTGCTGACATGTGTCTGACTTGATCCACCCAAACTGGGATGGGTTTACGGTTCATCTTATTTTAGATTAACAGGTAATGGCAAATAGCTCTTCCTAAATTAGGAGAAGTCTTAGAAGAAGTCTTGGATAGTAAGAAAGGTAAAATGTGCTGACATTTTCCTTTTTTTTGCATGTATTTGTATGGTAATTTAGCTTATATTCCAACATGGTTTAATCAATATTACAGTAGATCATCTCATTGCAAAGAAATTAGCTTTTTATTGTCTTTGCCTGATTCACTTAAAGGCTCTAATTAAGGATATACTAAACATGAAAATCTCTGCTAAGGCTTTAAGCTTTGTAGATGTTATCTGAAGCTCATTAATGCTTCCTGTTAGGACAAAAATATATTCAAACGTTTGGATGATGAACTGAGGTGGGTTTTTGTTTTTAAAAAATTATAAGTGTACTGAACAGGAATAGTATTTTTACTTCAGCATGCCTTTTAAGAGAATTTGATTATAATTTATTTATATTTCAGCTAGAAAAATAGAAGTATTTTGAAAGAAAAAATTAAAGTACACCAATCACAACATATTTGCATGTTCTGACCTTATTTCCTATTGCAAGTTTGACTTCAATTTTTGAATGACTCAGAAAATTTACAGTGCTGTGACACACCTCAAGATTCCATTAGATTCCCTTTTATAAAGCGCTGTACGTCTGTTGAAATCTTGCAAGATGTCACTCACAGCAAAGAACTTCTGCTTTCTTAAGGATGTAAATACTTATTTGGCAACGTCCCATTCAGTAGGATTATTTATAGGATTGGTTTTGTGTTTTAACCTTATTATCAGAAATAAATAGTAACACACATACTCCCTCCACTGATAGCATCCCTTGTTAAAACCTGTTTGCTCTCCTGTTACAAGCAGTGTTATGTCACATTATTTATCACTGCTGCGACCAGATAACACAAACATGAAAGAGTAACCGGTGTATTCAGCTCTGGAAGGCAGTGCTGGATCAGAGTCCTCTCTTAACTCATCTGCATCGCTCACACCCGGGCTCTGACACTGCCTGCTGCCCCCCAGGACCACTCAGTCGGGGTTTCAGTGCCGTGCAAACCAAACGCGAGCGGTCAGCTCGCACCTCCTGAGGCTGCAGCTCCTCTCCGAACAGCCTGGCTGCTAACACCACGCGCAAGGCTGGTGCGTGATAAAAGCACCTCATCGTTCCTGGCAGGGAACACCAAGCCACACTGGGTCAAAGCAAAGGAACAAATCTGGGAGATGAATGTAAATCTTTACTCCACTTTGATACTTCCTCCTTCAAAACAGACTTGGCTTTCCAAGGAAGAGCCATGCGAAGGGGAGCGGGAGTCAAGGTTAAAGGCATCAGGTCCAAGGCACTGGGATGTTTTTATTAGGGAGGGGTATGCTCTGCCAAGGCAACGCAGATCAGTAGGATCATCAGACAAGATTTCTGCCTAAAATCTTGAAGTCTCTTCGCCATGTGTTTGAATTCATTCTACAAAGTCATTCCGTGGCTTAGCAAAATTAATCCTCATCCCATGTGGGGAGGGAGGAATAGAAATCCATCACCTTTAAACACAACACACTGAGCAAATCGACAGTTTGAGTGTGGTGTGAAACCTTTGCAGATTTTGCAAAGCAAGTGCTCTGTCTTTTCCCTTATTGTTTGCCCTTCACTTGACATACAGGAAGAGATGCATCAAGAGGATGGCAGGAGACATGTGTCACTTAAAGCATGCCATAACAATGTTTGCCCTGGAATACTCCCTTGAATCTGTTTGAACAAGCAGGCATCTTACATGGCAAAACACACAGAGAACTTCACCTAGTTACAAAGTTGACAGAACCCCTCTGCCATCCTCCCCCGCTGAGCAGCGCCAGCCCCGGGCACGCCGCTCCCCTCGGCCCTGAGGCGGCGTGCCGCGGTCACACCGCACCAGGTCACTTGTTGCACAGTGCCAAGGGTGGCATCTCCCCTCGGCTCAACCCACCGAAAGTTGGCGGAGCCGCGTTCCGGCGGAGCCCGCCCCGAGCCGCCCGTGTGGCGCCGCTCACCTGCATGTGTCCCTGGTACATCCTGCCGCGGCCGCTCCGCTGCCCTCAGGCCGGCAGGTCGGCTGTGCTGCGCGGGGGGCACCGCTCCGGCCGCTCGGCTACAAGAAAGGAAAAAAAAAAAAAAAAAAGGGGGAAAAAAAAAAAAGGAAAAAGGAAAAAAAAAAAAAAAAAGCCTAACCCTGAAGGAGCTATTTTTGGCTAAAGCTCCGTTTGTCCTGGCAGCTCCTGTACTGGTTTCAGTAACCCAGAGCTGTTCGGCGCCCGCTTCTCGCCTCGCTGCCTGTGTTTCCCCCTGCCAGGCGGTGCCGGCACTGCCCGGCAGCGGTGCTCGGGGGTGCTGGGCAGGCGGGCGGACCCGGGCAGGGCTGCGGGCGGCCGGGCGGGGAGAGCCGCGGGGCGGAGCGGGGCCGCCGCTGCT